CAATGGTACTCACTGCTGCATTGTTATGTATTAAAGAAGTGAACAAATCTTTAAACTCTAGCCATCGCTCATATGCCCCTGAAAACCTTGGCAATTCAATCTTAGGTAGACTCACTCCCAAGGGCCTATTTTGATTATTAATGTTACTTTGAATAGAAGGATTTTGAACTTGTGTCGTTTGCACTTTTGACAAACAAAACTGTCTTGATTCTGATATTAAAGCATAATAAGTGCTTTCAAAGGCTTCGAAAGCAGAACTATCATAGTTATCTGGATCCAAACTTTCAAGCTCAAATTCAATTTCAGAAAAATCTTGCAGTAAATGAGATTCAATATTGGACATACGCATTTGAAGTTCTAAAAGTTTTGAATGCTCTATTTCCGGTTCATCTTTTAGTGCATCAAAGAATCTTGAAAATCTAGTTAAATTTGATTTCAAGCTAGCCCTCTTTCGAACCAAACTAGAAATTGCTTCGGAAGCAGCCTCGGAAGCAGCTATAAAATCATTAGAATATTGCTCGGAATTCTGTCTTTGATTTGAATTACGGTTACCTGACTTTTTGGGAGGCATGTTTAATAATTAAAAAATGTACCCCAAACAAAACAATTATTTAACCGTATTTGCTGTGAAATTATAAATTTTCTAAAACAAAATACAAACAATATACACCAAGCAATTCAGTAATTAATAGCTTATTATACCAAAGCATCAAATTAATATTGTTATTAAAGAAAATTCTGTAAAAAATCTCGGTAAAAATGCAAAAGAAAACGTTCTTTGATAGTAATTATATAAAGCGCAATAAAAACTGACAATAAGCTAAAAAATTCAATAAAAAATAACTTGAACAATGGCCAAAAGCCTTTCCAATATTATTTAATAATATTCTATGCACTTTTAATTCGTTTGAACTTCAAAATGAACGTTTCAAATAATGATACCTGATAGCCTGGTAACGTCAATATCCTTGGTCATCAACAACTAGAGCACTGAGCACTGAGCACTATGTACACTTTGTTTTGCAAAAAATGCATCACCTTGCAAACACCAATTTTTGAACTGTTTACCTACTGTGAAACAGCTTTACTAGACTCGATTGAACATACACTAAACACTTGAACTGATTGGTAGCGTTTGTTTACTTTTGCCCTGAACTGGACGCCTTTTTCTTCAAAAATGTCACAACTGCAAACTTGACTAATACTGTCCTGGACTGGACAAACGTATTAATTAATTATTGATTAACTGGACAATGCGGGTCGAATGGACCAAAAAATCTATGTTAACGCACTGAAACAAAGTGGACTGTATGAAATGAGAGACACCTTGAACTTGGTATTTTTTTAAAGACTTTATTTGTTATTGCCTGAAACGCTTATGCCACCAACTCTCGAGAGCGTTCAAAGGCGCCTCGCTGGCGGCTGCCTCCCTTCCCCTTGCGTCTCGGTCTCCATCGAAGTCCTGAACTCGCTATCTGGCGACGGGGCTGGATGGTACGGAAGAGTTTTCGCCTTGTTACTAAGCGGATCATTGAGGAATGGTTTTTAAGTGATATATGAAATTTCGATGTGCTTATCGTGATTGAATATAATACTTAACAATTGGTCATAAAATTGTGCAACTTTGCCATAATTTAACCGACCCCGTATCTCTTACGGTTACCGAGATCCCAATGATGAGGCTCGAATTTGGGCCACCCTGTACATGTGAATGATGAGTGTATTTTGAGATGTTTTAAAACTGCCTACAGAAATTCTGCAGAATGGTTCTGGGCCTATCATGTCAGTCGTCGAACCTCCTTTGGCTAAGTCATCAACCTTTTCGTTTCATGGCCTGGTATTCAGGCTATGGTAAGTTTGTTGGACAGGCCTCTAGGGTATGTATACAGTTCCCAACCAGCTTGAAACTGATCTTTCGGGAGCTGATTGTCTATAGGCAAGCTTGGCAGTCCGAGTAAATAACGATGTTTTTACTATTAACTTTCATTTATCAGTATGGCACAGTGCATTATTGCAGCGATTTCCGTCTAAAATACCGAGACGTATTGTCCAATACTTGTGGATATTTCCATTCTAAGTCTGTTCTCGTAGATGCCGACTCCGACCCCCTTGCTGGTCTTGGAGCCCTCGGTGTATCACATGTGGTTTGCTTTAATTGGAGGACCTTTCTTCCAGTCTCCCCTATCTGGTATGATAACCCAGAAGTGCCTGCTGAAGATGAAAATAGGTGTCGTTTTGTCTGAGGGCATCTCGAACCTGGATTCTCCTCTATTTTCCAGCTCATGATTCTTTGGTGTTTTATAATTAGACCCTGGCCTTACTTCACTCTGTATAGTACCGCCTTTACTTCACCCTGTATGTAGATATGTAGTGGTGGCAGATTTGACAGCACCTCCAAGGCTGCAGTTGGGGCTGTTTTCATTGCCCCCATAATGCATACGCAGGCTAGCCTTTGCACACTTTTAAATCGTCTAAATGCTACAGTTTGTGTGACCTTTGTACCCCATGCAACCGACCGTAGGTTATCATTGGTCGTATCACCATTTTGTATAACCATAGATTTATCTTTGAATTAAGTCCCCAGCTTTTTCCACAAAACCTTCTGCATTTCCCCAGGGTAATTTTAGCCTTCTGGACAACTTTATTGATGTGTGAACTAATGTTACGAAATTGGGTTCTGCGCCTATAATAGCTATATCTAACCCTTCAACCATTATGAATTTATGTAAGGACTCACCTCTGCCATTTGTGTTGGTGTTTTCCCAGATTGCGTGGTGGGCGTTTACATTGCCTCCAACGGTAAGTCGTCGTCCCCCTCCCCTGCAGTGGGTCACAGCATTTTCCATCAGATATTCTCCAGGAAAGTAGACGCAGCAGATTACCCAGGACGTGGGCCCGTCCTCTAATGTTGTTGCGGTTGCCCGTACTGTAACAAAATCTCCGATATTAGTGATCAGCTAATTTTATTACTGTTGTATAGAATACAGGCTCTTGGGTTGTTAGCCTCTGTATGATACAATAACTTATCACTGGGTGGGTTTAGTCCTCTGATGGCTCCGTTATTGTTTAGCCACGGTTGGATAGAGAAACCTTCTACACAGCACGGCTGAGGCAGCCTTGGCATGGTGAAGGTTGATGTGGATAACCTTTATGGTATATCCATTTCTACGAAGTGATATCATGTAATAAGTCCGATATTCAAAAACACCATAAAAGTTGTTTTTTCAAGAAAATTCTCGCCTTACGGGTTTATATCAAACCAAGTAGGCTTTGGAAACATGTATGTATTGCAATGTCGGTATTACAGGGCGCCATATTCAAATTTTAAAATTTTGCAATGCCTACTTTGTCCCTTGTCAAACAGTGTTGCCAACTACAACTTATAACAAATATTGTGTCAATCATTGAGGCTCGAATTTATACAAAAAAAAAGCCCAAGTAGGCCTTGCAAATTTCAAATTTTCCATAACAGTAATTATATAAACATCGGCAACACTGTTGGGCAAAATGTCAAATATCATTTATGACAAGCGACAAGATTACTACTTATCAAAAACTAATGGCGATATCCATTTGTCAATCAGTGCGTACTGGTTCGACAAATGGAAAACGCTATAAGTGAACCTTGAAGTAATCCTGGACTGGGATCATGACAAGTAGAATTCTATTTCCATGACGTCACCCGCGACCTATTTATCGCGTATACTACAGGCGTGGAGTGGTGTGAGGTCAAGAATGACTTCTACTGCCGCGGTTGAGCATGATCTTATTGCTTTTGTTATACAAAGAAACGCGAGTTTTTGCACTTTTCCTAACTGTCATTAGCTGGATTCGGCTATACCAGGCTACCACTCCGTAGGTGATGATAGGCCTGACTATTATGGTACACATCCATCTTAGGATTGATAAGTTATAACCCCATGTTTTACCTGCAATGTTTTTGCAGACCATAACTGCCGAAATTGCTTTTTTTATTGTTTTCTCTACATGTCGGTTCCAGAGAAGTTTTTAATTAGAATCTAGGGTTATTCCTAGGAATTTGACTTCTTTTTTCCAATCAAGTCTGCTTCCATCGAGGCGAATGTTTCTCAGGTTTGAGAGTTTCGTTCTTTTTGTAAATGTTACCAGTCTGATGGTTTTTGCTGAATTTAGATTCAGCCCCACTGTCCGACACCATTCCTTCGTGATTCGAAGTTCTTTTTTTATAAGGTCGCAGAGTATTCCTTTGTATTTGCTTCTGATCATGATGACAATATCATCGGCGTATCCAAAGCAGGTGAAGCCCTGATCGGTCAATAAATTTAGGGTGTCGTCAACCACTAGACTCCACATCAAAGGTGAGACTACCCCTCCCTGCGGACATCCTCTAGTGGTGGTGATCTGTATGGTTTGTTCACCCACGTCAGTTTATTCTGCAGTTCTGGTGGCTAGCGTCTCGCACATCCAGGTGGATGTGGTTTTGTCTACTACTTTTTTGACGAGCGCATTCTTTATTGACTCATGAGAGGTGTTATCAAATGCCCCATCTATGCCCAAAAAGGCGCAGACGGCTACTTCTGTATTATACAACGTGCTTTGGATGCTGTCAATGAGCTCAAGTAAAGCAGTTTCTGTTGATTTGCCCGCTCTGTAAACATGCTGCCCAAAATGTAGTATAGCGTCTTTTCTAAAACACTTCTTCTGATGTAGGTATTTACAACTTTCTCAGCTCACTTCGAAAGAGTGGCATCTCTTTTCCCTGCCTCTGGAATGAAAGTAACTTAAACTCTTCGCTCATCTCTATTGACTGGGTATATATCGTGTTATGTTTGCTGTTAGATATCTTTTACCTTATTGTTTGTTTAAAAATTTATTTACTTACTATGTAAAGCAACGTAATACAATATTGTTAATTTTGAGGGAGTAGCTTTAAGGCTAAGAATAATAAATATTTCATTTCATGTAATCTACTTATTCAATTAGTTGTGATCGATAATTAAAAATTTTTCTCTCTTTTAAAGAACATGGTGGCGGTCACGGTCACTCGCACGCTGCCGGCGGTCTATCGCACTCGCGCAACCGCCTCACGCAACTGGCGCTGACCGACGACAATGAAAACGACGAAGCTTATCCGTCGCCGCCTCCGCTGCCGCCACCAAAAGCCAAGGTGGTTTCGCACGGGCACTCGCACGGCGGCGCCGGCCAGATGAATATGCGCGGCGTCTTTTTGCACGTTCTAAGCGACGCCCTAGGTTCCGTGATTGTTATAGTTTCGGCTTTGGTAAGTTGAAAACTTACTTATTATTATTATGTTAAAAATAATAATATATTATCTTAGGTATTTTGGCTGACCGATTGGAAATACAAATTCTACATCGATCCCGCCTTATCACTTCTTCTAGTTTTGCTCATTTTACGCTCAGTTTGGCCCCTATTAAGAGACTCAGCCTTAATTCTACTACAAACAGTGCCAACTCACATACAAGTGGACGCAATTCAGAAAAGACTATTGCAAAATGTAGACGGAGTGTTGGCAGTACACGAATTCCATGTGTGGCAATTGGCAGGAGACAGGATCATAGCATCCGCTCATATTCGGTGTCGCAACTTGTCCGAGTACATGAAAATAGCGGAAAAAGTCAAAGAATTCTTCCACAATGAGGGCATACATTCGACAACGATCCAGCCCGAGTTTATCGACTATACAGATATTCCTACAACGTCAAAGTAACTATTTGTATTTTGATTTGATTTCGAATTAATGGGGATTTTTCTATAGGGTCGGAGATACCAATAACGTGTCGGAAGATTGCGTCTTGGATTGTCCAAAGTCTTCAAAGGAATCGGACGATTGCGGGCGGAATACTTGTTGCGGACCTTCAAAGGTAAGTTGCCCATAATTCGTCCACAATCTCTAATTCTTATTAATCAAAATTTGATTTATTACCGGCTCTTGATTGTCTCTAGAAGTTACTTGATTATGACATTGGGTCAATGGTTCAATTGAGTTCCAAGTTAGAACGACTCAAGAACCCAATGACATATTAACACAAATAGACATTACAGAAAACCTAGGGGTAAACCACCTTGAAATTATAGCATACAAGCGTATATGATTCCATATTTTGTCTCACAACTTTGTGTCTAGTCTATATGTGTTAATATGTCATTCCTCCAGCTGTCAACAACAACGTTAATGATTGGTTCAAATTTTATATCGAATACTAATTTTATAGGATATAGAAAATAATATACAACACAGACAGATGTTTTTTTTTTCTAGGGAAGAGATACTCCCACCCCCAACAACACCCCGTATCTTTGTCGTCAGCGCAACTCCACCAATAGCGTCAACATAGAAGGCGTAAGCGACATGGAAAAGGGCAACTTACTAGAGAAATCGCCCACTGAGACTTTGGCGACCGATTGCGAGTGCAACAGCTTGAGAGGGTCTCAGTATTCACTTCGAGGATAAAATCAATCCGATTTGTAGCCAATTCAGGGATCCAACAGAGAAATAATCAGTCAATATAATTTTTAGTCAAAATACTCGTATATATTATTGTGATCTCGGGGGTAAGCCACAGGGTGGCCTTTAGTACTTAAAATAGAAGAAACTTTTAGGGCATTTTGACACTTTGTTTAGATCTGAGCTTTAAACGTTTCTTTTATATAGGGTGCTTCGAAAAAGTTTGGTCGATTTAATGTTGAGGAACAGTGACTTATATTGAAAATCTATTGTCACAATACAATTTTCATTTGATTTAGTTCCTTTTAGTTGTTTTCACCTTTTTAAAAAAAAAATTATTTGCTCACACTGTATACAATATTATTGTAGGTAGGTAATTTTTTTTTTTTTTTTTTTGTTGGTATTTATTTTTCAGTATTTTTTTTTTACCATACTAAAAAATAATCAAATAGTTAATTTAGTTTAGTCTTATTTGCGTCCTAGACGCTTTAATTTAATTATCGGTTATAGGCAATTGATTGTATATTTTCTAATTGTTTTTTTTTTTGTGAAGTTTATTATGACTTATTGTAACTTACTGTGTTCATAAATAAAGAGAATTGACATATTCCAGGCTTTTGAATTCTTCCTTGATTTTTGCCAAAATGATACCAACATACATTTTGTCTCACAACTTTGTCAATTTCAATCCGATCTTAATTAAATTAGGCTGCAATTGAAGCCAATTAAATTATCTACAATGCATGATTTCAATGCAACTTCAACAAATTTGCAGCTGCACAAGTCTTTTGACTTAGAATTCCATGCAAAATGACACCAATACACATTTTTTCTACTGACGTTTTATATTACGCCTAAAATCTGTTTCATAATGAACTTCATTATGATACAGATTTTTCATTCACTGGAGTTGAGTATTTTGAACATACGAAACTCGCCTGCGGCTCGTTTCGTATCCTACAACATGCTCCTGTATTAATGGCTATCATTGCATAATATACTATTATTGAAAAATATAGAGACATAAAAGTAATGTCAGAATCGTACGACCCACACAATGAGCGAGGCTCCTCCCAAACTTCTTCGCAGGCTCTCTCAAACATAATTATCAATACGATTCAGAATTCAGCTACAAATGCCATTTTGGCAGCAGGTGATGCATTTGCTCCAAACTCATTTATTAAAACCCTTGCATATTCAATGAGCGAGTACCGTTTTGTCAAGGAAAAATCTCTCTTACGCCGAAATAAAAACGACATTGATCAAACATTTGGATCGCAGTAAAAATAAATATGCCAAAAGTAGGTACTAAGTTACGGCAAATCACCCATGTGTGATCGTTGATCCATGAGGTTCATGGAAAAACGTAGCAAATTGGGTTAAAAGCATGAAAATTCATTATCTCAAGTTATTTGACCCGCAGCACCTCAAATTTCACCCCTTAGGAGGGTGGTGTAACCCCTATTTTATTTTTAAAGGGTTGAAATTACTAAAAACTTTTATCATCAAATTATTTTAATATTAGTATCATTTTAAACTTAAGCTGGGTTCTAACAGAAATTTAATTCAATTTTATATTAACATAATTTAAGATTTAATATAATTTTACTTTATGGCGTTCATACAGTAACTTTTTAACTGATATAGAAAAATGTCATTATCCGTCATCTACCTTGTCAAACTGATGAAAATCAATGATCAACCTCAAATTTAATTTAATTTAATTTTGAAAGATAAAAGTTGGCCAACTTTTAAATTAAGTTATATTATGTCTTAAATTAAAATTTTGTATGAACGCAGTCATATGGTATTGTATAGTAAACTTTTTAAATTAAATTATATTAAATGCTAAATTAAATTAAATGTCTGTTAGAACCCACCTTTATTTGAATATGAGAAATTTAAAAAAAGTATATCCCATTTTCATAGGACCCAACGATAAAGCTGTCATATTTGACATAAGTATCAAAAATATATTCTTTTTTAACATTCAGACATATCTAAACAAAAATAATAGCGATTTATAATATGTTTCGGAATCTGTACAGGTCACCGATGCAGCTCTACAGCAACGTCAGGAATGAATATATTGCGTCACACCTAGCGTCACACAGAAAAAAACATCTAAAATATTAAATGAAAAAGACTTTAAATAAAGTCGAAACGTCGGCATTTTTTAAAATTTAAAAGGGACTTTGAACATCTAAAATAAGTTACCTTCCTATTCGAAGCGAATAGTTCATTGATATCTCAAGCTATAAAAAATGAAAAATCAATATAGTTCGTTTTGAGTGTATAGTTTTACCCCTTATCACTGCATTCTCTTTAATACTGCTTGCAGGCAAGCTGGCAAGCATGCAATTCACTTCTCATGCAGAAGCAAAGTATTGTGTCACATGACGTGTTGCATCCACATGTATCGAATGACCTCCATGCCTCCCAAGCATGTGGTTCTTTCGACTATAATGGTTCCCACTTTCCTTCATCATCTCTATATCCCAAGGTACTTGGTGCAGGGAGACCGTGTGAGTGTATGATCCGCTCTACTCCAAATGTGATCCGCCTAATAAGCTGCCCTTAATCTGTGGTCATGTAGAGCCGCTACAGTTGTTGAAATGGGCGTTAGTAGGCGGGTTTCGGTCGCAAAGGAATATTTCCTGGCCGAATGAACAATATATATACATATAAATGGTATACCACATATAAGTGCTCTATGAACATAGTCTTCTAACTCATCGCAGGGGAACGATATTGCTCGAAATGCGGATGTTGTTTCTTCAGTCAAAGCTCTCCACGTTGATCGTTTTCCTTTTAATAACAGAAATGATACGGTAAGTAGTGTTGAAATATACGCTAAAATCTGCATATACCTGTCTGGTGTTTTAATTGTAGTTTGATAGATGTAAAAATGTATGTCAAAAGTATGTAGAATTGTTTAATCCTGTCTTCGTTCTCTGTGAAATAAAAGTTAAAACAAAGAAGTATCCACTGCAGTTTAAATAGTAATTATAACAGGTTATGAGCCCAGATCCCTGGAGCGCCAAAGTAAACCAAATGAAAAGTTCTGGTAAGAATTTTTTACAATTTTTGTTAAAAAAAAAAAAAAAAAGTCTCAAGCCGGGAAAAATTATGCAATTGAGGCTTTGAATGGCAATAATTATCATAATTGGAAGTTCCGAATGGAAATGATTGTGACAGATATGAATGAAACAGAAACCATTCCAGGTAATTTGGCCACCGAAAATGAAAGACAGCAGGTAAATAAAAGGAATTGCAAAGCAAAATCTTTGATTGTACAATGCGTAGATGACAATCAGTTAGAATGTCTACTAGAAAAAAGAACAGCTTTTCAAATGTGGCAAATTTTAAAGGAGAAGTATGAGAAAAAAGGTTTACCAGGCCAGCTATTTTTGAAAAGAAAATTATCATCAATGAAGCTTAATGAGGGACAATCAATGGAAAGATTTATTAATGATTTCGATGAAATTGTCAGGCAATTGAAGTGTTCAGGTGCACAGCTAAGTGATGAAGACCTGATTTGTAACATACTTTTGTGTTTGCCCAAATCCTATGATGAGACCATGGTAGCAATTATTGAAAGTACCCCGAATATGACATTTGAAATGGTAAAGCGGAGGTTGGTGGCAGAATTTGAAAAAATAAATTTAGGTAAAAGAACTAATGATGGTCAGGACAGTACATTTGCTTTCACTACACAGCAAAAAGGTACCTACATGCTATAGATGTGGCGAATCTGGTCATTTCAAGAAGGACTGTAAAAAGTTAAATAACGATATTAACCAACGATATGGACATGAACATAGAAATTTTTATGGAAATCGAGGTCGAGGAACGAATTTTCGTGCAAATAATGGTGGGAGATATGGTGATAATCAGTAAAGGTAAAGACAAATTTGGAAATATGACAATGGAGCAGATCAGAGATATGAAGACAGAGATAGAATATAATGGTTTGAGATATGGTCAGAGAGGTTCATTTCGTGGTTCAGGTATTCAGAATAATTATGGAAACAAAGGTAGGGGAAGATTTACTAATTTTGTTAACAATGATAGTGAAGAAAACTTAGATCAGAATGTTACTGAGCAAAACATTTGTTTTTCGGGTGAATTAAATCATGAGAATATTGATCTTTATAAAAGTTATTTAATTTTTTTTATTGATTCTGGTTGTACTGACCACATGGTGAATAAGAAAACTTTTTTTTGTGATTTGGTAATGTTAAAAAAACCAATCAAAATTGCTGTAGCTAAAAATGAAAGTTTTCTATTGGCCATGGGTGTTGGTATCATAAAGGCTATTAGTATAGTAAGAGAAAAGAAGGTAAATTGTACTGTGATGATCCAGAAATTTGACCCTATAATTACAAAGTCTTTACTGTAAAAATTTTAATTTTTATCAAATAATCAAAAACTTAATTCCGGTATTTTTAAATCCGTATCGATAAACGCTAATGTATTGCAACACAGGCCATGTCATCATCTAAATTAAATTCTTAAAAAAATGATAAAAACGAGGACAGTGACATCACTAATAAACGATCAATGAACTTGTTAGCCAAGGCCTTTCCGTTTAACAAAAATTGAGTCGAATGAATTATGGCATTCTTGAACCCAAACGTGTTGACCTCAATAAATCAGATTATTGCGACATAATTAACTGATTTTAGACTAAAAATAATATAAAATTCCAAGGAAATTGCATCATCTTAATTGTCATGGACAAAGTGATTTAGGAGCACCGGGTTTTATATAAATAGGGCGTTTTTAAGAAGGACAAAACAGTTGACAGAGAACAGTCTAGTCCAGTTTGAAGTAAAGTCTGCCCAGTTTCGCGAAAAGTTACCTTTATGGCGTTTTGCCTCGGGAATGTTTTAACTTAGAAAATCGAGAAAGTAATAACATTTGAAATTCGTTCAATAATTTATGTGCGTGCTAGCTAAATATTTTGAGTAATTAATTAAGTAATTTTACGTGTGTTTTATGGACAAAATGTAAGTACTTTAGCAAGCTCCAAGCATATAAATACCATCAATAGACCGCTCGCCATTTACCATCTAACTATTTACATAAAGTACTTGGGGCGTTTTGCTACAGTACTATAAAGAATGTTTTTTATGTACCCGATTTAAGAAAGAATTTATTAAGCGTCAAGAAACTATAAATGTCCAATATAAAGGTTGTATTTGAAAATTCACAGGTAATATTGATTGATGAAAAACAAAACATAATAGGTAAAGGAAAGAGAGAAAATTTGTATGAAATATTATTTGAGTTATGCAAGATAGAATGCTTGAATGTTGAAAGTTTGAATAACGATTTTATGATGTGGCATAGGCGTTATGGGCACATAGGTTTTTCAGGTTTAAAGGAGATAATTAAAAGAAATATGGTTACAGGTATAGGTGGAAATGTTAAGATACAAAAAGTTAAATTTTGTGAGCCTTGTGTGAGTGGTAAGATGACTAGGTTTCGTTTTGGTTCGAGGACAAAAAATCAAAGAATTTTGGAAATAATACATACGGATGTTTGTGGTCCAATAACTCCCATTACGTATGATGGTAATAAATATTTTGTAACTTATATCGACGATT